GGGGGAAGTCCCGGATGACTGGAAAAAGGCTAATGTAGTGCCAATCTTTAAAAAAGGGAAGAAGGAGGATCCTGGGAACTACAGGCCAGTCAGCCTCACCTCAGTCCCCGGACAAATCAAGGAATCAATCCTGAAGCACTTACACGAGAGGAAAGTGATCAGGAACAGTCAGCATGGATTCACCAAGGGAAGGTCATGTCTGACTAATCTAATTGCCTTCTATGATGAAATTACTGGTTCTGTGGATGAAGGGAAAGCAGTGGACGTATTGTTTCTTGACTTTAGCAAAGCTTTTGACACGGTCTCCCACAGTATTCTTGTCAGCAAGTTAAAGAAGTATGGGCTGAATGAATGCACTATAAGGTGGGTAGAAAGTTGGCTAGATTGTCGGGCTCAACGGGTAGTGATCAATGGCTCCATGTCTAGTTGGCAGCCGGTGTCAAGTGGAGTGCCCCAAGGGTCAGTCCTGGGGCCGGTTTTGTTCAATATCTTCATAAATGATCTGGGGGATGGCGTGGATTGCACTCTCAGCAAATTTGCGGATGATACTAAACTAGGAGGAGTGGTAGATACGCTGGAGGGTAGGGATAGGATACAGAGGGACCTAGACAAAGTGGAGGATTGGGCCAAAAGAAATCTGATGAGGTTCAACAAGGATAAGTGCAGGGTCCTGCACTTAGGACGGAAGAATCCCATGCACTGCTACAGACTAGGGACCGAATGGCTAAGCAGCAGTTCTGCGGAAAAGGACCTAGGGGTGACAGTGGACGAGAAGCTGGATATGAGTCAGCAGTGTGCCCTTGTTGCCAAGAAAGCCAATGGCATTTTGGGATGTATAAGTAGGGGCATAGCCAGCAGATCGAGGGACGTGATCGTTCCCCTCTATTCGACATTGGTGAGGCCTCATCTGGAGTACTGTGTCCAGTTTTGGGCCCCACACTACAAGAAGGATGTGGATAAATTGGAGAGAGTCCAGCGAAGGGCAACAAAAATGATTAGGGATCTAGAACACATAACTTATGAGGAGAGGCTGAGGGAACTGGGATTGTTTAGTCTGCGGAAGAGAAGAACGAGTAGGGATTAGATAGCTGCTTTCAACTACCTGAGAGGTGGTTCCAAAGAGGATGGTTCAAGACTATTCTCAGTGGTAGCTGATGACAGAACAAGGAGTAATGGTCTCAAGTTGCAGTGGGGGAGGTTTAGGTTGGATATTAGGAAAAACTTTTTCACTAGGAGGGTGGTGAAACACTGGAATGCGCTACCTAGGGAGGTGGTGGAATCCCCTTCCTTAGAAGTTTTTAAGGTCAGGCTTGACAAAGCCCTGGCTGGGATGATTTAATTGGGGATTGGTCCTGCTTTGACCAGGGGGTTGGACTAGATGACCTCCTGAGGTCCCTTCCGACCCTGATATTCTATGATTCTATAATTCTATGATTCTAATGATCAGCAATTCCTAGAAGCAGGGAATTATTTTTTCTGTTGCTGCTCTCCTTGCAATTACGTGGCCTGGCAGGTGGGAGTAGATCTACTGGGGACCTGGGGAGGGCACCAGCAGGTATGGAGGTTGTTGGATAGGTGGGGGTTTGAGGAAGGAATTAGGGGTGGGGGGGTGGATAAAGAGGAATAGGGAGCAGAAAAAAGGGTTGTTTTGACATTTCTCCCCCAAATTCTTTTTGTTTGTTTGTTTCAATGTAAATATCTTGCCAAAGTTGACATGGATTTGTAAAATGTTTCTGTCAACCCACCTCTGCAATTTTCACCTTAAAAATGTTTGCCTGTGTTTGGAGGGGTGTGGAAGGAGTAAAAGTGCTAAGCAGACCAGGCCCTTGAATACAGCCCAACTGCAAAGAGCACAGGTCAGCGGGTGCTGAGCAAAGATGGCTCCAAGCTCACATTTCAGCTAGCTTGCTGCTGCCCTGTGCAGGCTCTTCCTACTGCATTATATTAGAGCCACACACAAGCGTTGCTCCAACTCATACCAGCTATATGATGAATATATCTAATTTATCTAAATATTTTAACCTGTTCTTTTCCTATTTTGTATTCCTTCCCCCTTGTAGTTAGTATTAATTGAGTTAAATATCTGGTCACCATTAACCCTTTTAGTGAAGACTGAAGTAAAGTAGGCATTAAACACCTCAGCCTTCTTCTTGTCATCAGTTATTAGCACTTCTTCCCCACTAAGTAGTGGACCTACACTTTCCTTCATCTTTCTCTTGCTCCCAATGTATTTATAGAACCTTTTCCTATTGCCTTTTGTGTCCCTTGCTAGGTGTAACTCATTTTACACCTTAGCCTTGCTGATTTTCTCCCTATATGCTTGTCTCATTCTTTTGTACTCCTCCTTATCAATTTGTACAAGTTTCCACTTTGTGTAGGATTCCTTTTTGATTTTCAGGTCATCAAAGAGCTCCCAATGGAGCCATATTGGCCTCTCACGACTCTTGCCTTCATACACAGAAGTTTGCTGTTATAACTTTAATAGTCTCTCTTTGACAAACTGCCAGCTCTCTTGAATGCCTTTTTCCTTTAGATTTTCTTCCTGTGGGAGCTTACCTACCCGTTCTGAGTTTTAGTCTGCTTCTTTGATGTTCATTGTCCATATTCTGCTGCTCTCATTCCTTCCTTTCCTTAGAATTATGAAATCATATCATTTCATGATCACTTTCACCCAATCGCCTTCAACCTTCAGATTCGCAACCAATTCCTCCCTGTTAGTCAGAATCAATTCTAAAATGGCTACCTCTTGGTTACTTCCTCCACCTTCTGAAACCAGTTATCCCCGATCCATTCCAAGAATTCACAGGACATTTTGTGTTTTACCACATTACTTTTCAACAGATGTCTGGGGAGTTCAAGTTCTCCATTACTACCAGGTTGAGTGTTTTGGATATTTCTGTTGTTTGGTCTAGAAATGCCTCACCCACCTCATCTTTCTGGGGTAGACTCCTACCATGCCATCACCCCTGAATTTTCCCCTTCTATCTTCACCCAATCTTCTTCTGACCTCCTTCTGTTCTCGGTGTATAGTGGCACACCTCCTCCTTTTCCCCCTGTCTGCCCTTCCTTGCCAAGCTCTATCCCTCTATACTAATATTGCAGTCATGAGCATTATCCCACCAAGTTTCAGTGATTCCAATTAAGTAATAATTTAGCTTATGTACTCCAATACTTCCCGTTCTTCTGTTCATTCCCCAAACTCCTTGCATTGGTGTACAGACATCTAAGATATCGAAGAGAGTCCCCCACTGGTTTCCCTCTTGTTGCTCCAATGACTCTACTGTAATTTTCCATTACCCAACCCGCAACACAGCTAGCCTCCTCTGTTAAGGTCAGCTTTTTTATATACCTACCTGTAATGGCTTCCTCCAGCTCCCTGCACGCTGTGTAGAGACCTCTGGTCCCTCTCTGTTCCCCTCCCCACCTAAATATACTGATATTGAACAGAAACCCATTTCCCCCTTCCCCTCTGTTACCTGCCATCACCAGTGGGCTGACTTCCCCTCTATTATCTTCAGCTTCTCCTCTGAAGGAGCCTTTGCTAACCCCCCAGAAACCTTTACTCTCCCACAGATGCCCAGAGAAGTACCATACCTATTATTGTGATGATCAGTAGAGGCTTCAGCAACAGAGGATGTGGTCTCAGGCCCAACACAGGATACTCTGAACCCTAATTCAGACAGGCGGGGGCAGAGCGGAAATGGCCACTAACCATTTGCAAAGAACAACGGACTTCAAACAAAATGATGGGGAAACTGAAAAGCTCCCTGCAGCTGAGGTGATAAAAGACAATTCCTTGCAGCAGGGTACTATTGTCTCAGCAGCTGTTGTAATTTGTTTGCAGAGCAAGTGGTAGCAGACATTAAGGGGTGCTGGGAGAAGAAACAGCAGTTGGAAAGTAGATTGGACACGAATAAATAGCTGGGGGGGGGGGGGGGGGTGGTAAGTTAGGGCACAAGTATATTAGGAGAGGGGAGGACTCCCCAGCAGCAGAAAGGAGGTTGGTCTGGGCAGCTTTTACAGTTGGATTGCAGAAAGGCTCGATTCTTCTAGTTCTGGAGAGTAGGGATTCAGCAGTGCACCTGTCCAGCCCCTGGGATCTGTTCTTCTTTCCAGCCTGCCCTGATGTGGATGATTTTTGGCCTCCTCCAGGCTGATTCTGAGTTCTGTATTGCTTATTCCTTGCAGCCTGCAGCTCCCCTGTCTCCTCATGAGCTTCCAGGCTTGGAAATTAGAAATGGGGAGGCCTGTCAGGTCACATCATTTCAATGGATAATCATGGAGGGAAGTACTGTTATATCTGACCTACTTCTGGGGCCTTGAGCAGGATCTTTCCTCCAGGGCTTGCCTACTCCTGGTTTTGATCCCACAATAATAGCTTTCTTATAAATATCTCAGCGTGTATGTGGATTGACCATTTGAAACACATCCAGCATGGGGCTCCCAGTCTATGCCTTAGGGATCTAGATGCTCACAGAC